TCCTAGCATCCACTATGTATAATCTTAAACCTTTCTTCTGTGCATTGGTGGTTCAGTGGTAGAATTCTCGCCTGCCACGCGGGAGGCCCGGGTTCGATTCCCGGCCAATGCAATGTTTTATTTCGTCATCCAAGTCAAGAGGAGATTTTGCGAAAGAAACCCGTCACTCCTGTTAAAAAAGTATTTCCATATATAGAAACAAAATTAAAACCTGTTTCCTTTGCTATCATGGTGAATGGGAGGCTAACACAGAGACAATAGACTAAATGACTTAATAAAAACCGAAAGAACTGCGGATGCTGCAAATCCGGAACAAAAACACAAGTTGCTGGGAAGCTCAGCAGGCCTGGGAGCATCTATGAAGGAAAAAATCAGAGTTCACGTTTTGGATCCAGTGACCCTTCCTCAGAACTGATGGTAGCTGGGAAAACTTCCCCACTGCCTCCAAGCTGATAGGACCCCAGCCCTGCACAGCTCGCTTATACCTCCTACCAAAAATCCACAAACAGGACTGTCTGGGCAGATCCATTGTTTCAGCCTGCTCCTGCCCCACAGAACCCATCTCTTTCTACCTTGACTCAGTCTTTTTTCCCCTGGTTCAATCCCTGCCCACGTACATCCGTGATTTCTCTGACGCTTTACACCGGTTTCAAAATTTCCAGTTTGTAGGCTTCAGCCACCTCCTCTTTACCACGGACATGCAATCCCCTTACACGTCCATTCCCCACCAGGAGGGTCTTAAGGCATTCCGCTTCTTCCTGGAGCAAAGACCTGACCTATCCCCACCTACCACCACCCTTCTCTGCTTGGCCGAGCTCATCTTCACACTCAACAACTTCTCTTTTAACTCCTCTCATTTTCTTCAGGTAAGAGGGCTGGCCATGGGTACCTACATGGGCCCCAGTTATACCAGTCTGTTCGTGGGGTACGTGGAACGTTCCTTGTTCCAGTCCGATTCCGGCACCCACCCACAATTCTTTCTCTGATATATCGATGGTATCATCAGTACTGCTTCCCTCCCTCATCCGGAATTGGTAAAGTTCATTGGTTTTGCTTTCAATTTCTACCCTGCCCTCAATTTCACCTGGTCTATCTCTGACTCCTCCCTTCCCTTCCTCAACATCTCTGTTTCCATTTCTGAGGATAGACCGGCCGCTAATATCCCCCTCACAACTGAGTCTCCTTTGGCAGAGTATCCTGAGTATCGCTCTGGCAGACAGCAACCTTTCCCTCTGAGCGTCAGAGCCAGTCACAGTGCCACTGACCTGACTGATGCTGTTGGCTCCTGAAAGATCATCCTCCCCAACAGTACCCAAAGTGGTATACCTGCTATTGAGGGGAATGGCCACAGGGGAACCCTGCATTATCTGCCTTCCCCCCTTGCCTCTTCTGGTGGTCACCCAGCTACCTGCATCCTGCACCTTAGGAGTAATCACTTCACTGCAGCTCTTGTCAATGATGTTCTCTGGAATGCACTCAGGACCCTGGATGATTCTGAATGCATCCAGCTCCAGTTCCCTAATGCAGTCTGCCAGGAGTTGCAGCCAGGTGCACTTCTCACAGGTGTAACCACCAGGGACACTGGAAGTCTCCCTGATCTCCCACATCCTGCAAGAGGAGCATGCCATCCCCACTACCATCAGTTTAGATAGAAAGAAAGTATTAAAGAACCCTTACCTGCAACCCTGCTCAGCCTTCTCAAGCAAAAACCTCTCGAGCAAAGGGCTCAGCACTTCCACTCTAACAGTGGCCCACTCTCTTAATGGCTGCTCCCTTGTACACCTTTACATTGCTAGTTATCCTCCTCACAGAGTCTTTTCTTTTGGTCAGAGAAGAAGGGAGTGCAGGAAAACACCAATATAGTGTTCTGGGTTTAACCACATCTTGACACCAGTTTTTCTCTGACCTGCTGTACAGTTATGCTGTGTGTGGCAAAGTCTCCCAGAATTCCACTACAAAGCCTCTCAGCCATCCTCTGACTCACTGCTCTTCTTTGCTGTTTCATGGAGGGTGTCCTGCGGAGGTCGACTGTACAGTTGTGATGACTGTGGTGATGTCTCCCAAAATTCTGCTGTGATGACTCTCAGCCGCCCTCTGATTTGCCTTTGTCATGCTTTTGTTTAAGGAATGATGTAAGGAGAAGCCTGGGAACTATAGACCTGGGAGTCTGACTTCGATGGTGAGTATGTTGTTGGAAGTGATTCTGAAAGATAGTATTTATATGCATTTGGAGATGGAAAGAATGATAGGGATAGCTCGCATGGTTTTGTGCGAGGGAAATCATGTCTCACAAACTTGGTTGAGATTTTTGAGAAAGTAACCAAGAAGATTGATGAGGGCAGAGCAGTAGATGTTATTTACTTGGACTTTGGTAATGCCTTTGACAAGTTTCCACAGGGTAGACTAATTAACGAAGTTAGACAAAATGGTGTAGCAGCCTCCTGGCTGCTGAAACATAGGTAGACTGCTAACTTAACCATACAGTAGGGAATACTGGGTACATTGGCCAAGCAAACCTCTGAAATCACAAAACCCACAAAGCAGACACAGTGCAAACACAGCAGTCATGTGCTAATGATATTAACATAATGTAAAAGGCAACAGTTATTCTGGACAGACATACCCCAACAACTTATCCACTAAACATAGGAGAGCCCAGGCAGAAAGGCCCTGGCTCCTGCTACACAAAGAAACTCACAGTATCATGCCATCCAAATGATTGACTCTGTTTCAAACTATTAAGTGTATCTCCCTGACTGGCCAGAACAATAGAAAGTCCCAGAAAACCATCTGAAAGATATAAAAACAGGGTTCACCTGCAGACTTTGCTCTTGGAATCATCTGAGGCCTTCCAAGGAGACCAGCATGGCAAGAGGCAGAGACTAGCTGACCATCCAGAGAGAGAAAGAGGAAGAAAACAACTTCGCAGACCAAGAGACAGAGCCAGAGAGAGAGCGCGACTACATAAATCTACAAGAGACTTGGGAAGTAATGTGAGCTTGAGGGGCCAAATAGGATAAGGGATAGTATGTTTAGTATTAAAGATTATTGTAACTTTGTTTCTAATAATTTTGGGACTGTTTTGCATTGGTACCGTCTTCTGTTCGTATTGATTTGACCACGTTGGTATTGTGGGACACCTGGGCAAATTCATTCATAACATTCTGGTCAGAGTTGTCTAAATGGTTTTAAGGAGAGACAAAGACAACAATGGGATTCAGGGTGAGCTTACCAGTTAGATAAAAAAAATTGGCATAAAGACAGGAGACAGAGAGTGGTCGTGTTTTTCAAACTGGAGGCCTATTACCAACGGTGTTCCACAGGGATTGGTGCTGGGTCCATTTTTGTTTGTCATTTATGTAAATGATTTAGATGAAAATACAGAAGGCATGGTTAGTAAGTTGGCAGATGACACCAAAATTTGTGGTAGTGAAGAAGAATATCTAAGATTACAAAGAGATCTTCATCAATTGGGTCAATGGGCTGAGGAGTGGGATATGCAGTTTAATTTGGATAAATGTGAAGTATTGCATTTTGGTAGAACAAACAAGGGCATGACTTATACAATTAAAAAAAATGTACAGCCTTGGGAACTGTTGCAGAACAGAAAGACCTAGGGGTTCAGGTACATAATTCTTTGAAGTTTGAATCACATATAGATAGGGTGGTTAAGAAGGCATTTAGCAAGTCTGTTTTTATTACTCAGACCTTTGAGTATTGGAGTTGGGACATTGTGTTGAGGTTGAATTGGATGTTTGTGAGGCCTCTTCTGCAGTACTGTGTCCAGTTCTGGTTGCCTTGTTACAGAAAAGATATTATTAAGCAAGTGAGGATTCAGAAAAGATTTACCAGATGTTGCCAGGAATAGAGGGTTTGAGTTATAAGGAGAGGCTGGATAGGATGGGACCCTTTTTCACTGGAGTGTGGGAGGTTGAGGTTATAGAAGTTTATAAAATCATGAGGAGTGTAGAAAAGGCGAATGACAGGTGTCTTCTCCCTAGAGTGGGGAATTTCAAGACTAGGGGGCATATTTTTAAAATGCAAGGAGAAAGATTTATAAAAAACAGGAGGGGCAACTTTTTCATACAGAGAGCAGTTTGTTTGTGGAATAAAATTCCAGAGGAAGTGGTGGATGTGGGTCCAGTTCCAATGTTTGAAAGACATTTGAATAATTACATGGAAATGAAATGTTTGGAGGGATGTGGGCTAAACACAGACAAATGGGATTAGTTTAGTTTGGGATTATGGTTGACATGGACTGATTGGACCGACGGGTCTGTTTCTGTGCTGAACGACTCTTCATGACTCTTTGGTCAACTCATTACATAAATAATGTAATTGCAGTAGAGAGGGTACAAAGGAGATTTACCAGGATGTCACCAAGACTGGAGTATTAAAACTATGAAGAAAAAATTGGATAAGCTATGTTGTTTTTCTTGGAGCAGAGAAGGCTGAAGGGAGATTTGGTTGAGATGTAAAGCAGATGGGAAGGACCTATTTTGCCTACCAGGGTTGCTAGTGACTGGAGGGTACAGATTTAAAGTGATTAGTAGGAGAATTAGAGGGAAAAGAGAAAATAAATTTTTGCCCAAAGTGTGATAGGGATCTGGACCTTGCTGCCTGAAACTGCAATAGAGCAGAACATCTTAACTCATTTAAAAAATGTTGTGTCTGGATGTGTACCTGAAGTCTTGTAATCTCCAGAAATATGGAACAAGTGCTGGAAAATGGGGTTAGGCTGGGTGGCATGATTCTTAGTCATGCAAAGATGATAGGCAGAATGGCCTCCAATGCCATAGTTTTCTACAATTCCAACATATGCTAAATATCTGAAGAGAAAGAATATGAACAGGATGTAGGGAGAGGCAGGCTATGGGAGTGGCAGTATGTGAATTGCTCCTTTGGAGGGCTAGTGCAGACTTGTTGGGTGGAATGGCATTCTTTTGTGCTGCAACAATTCCGTCATTTTATGAAACAAGTTGCCTGAAGACGAGCACATGTAATGCTGGGGACCTTAGGAGGACCCTTTGAGAGGCCTTTCAACATTACTCTGTCATTCAACATGGCTGATCCTCCACCTCAATTCCTCCTTTCTGCCCCATCTACGTATTATTTAATTCTCTTAAAGCATAAGTAAACTAGAACTTAGCTAATAGAAGTAGGAGTAGACCATTCTGCTCTTTGATGCCATTTTCTTGTTTTCCTTGATGCTTTTAAGATGCAGAAATTAGTGCTCAAACATCTACCAATCTCTATCTTGCATGTATCCATTCTATTGTCCACTGTTTTTGGAGCATGTTTAATACCACGCTCCACACTTCAGGTAGAATATATTGGCTTTGAGATGGTAATGCAGATATCCCAGAATGATACTGGGCTAAATGGCTTAATTATGGGCATCACTAGACTTTTGATCCCTTGCATATTGAATATTAGGAAGTGATCTAATTGAAGTGTCTGGGATGATAAATGAATGGAGAAACTATTTCTCCTACTGGGGAACTCAAGCAGCCACAGCACAACTTTAAAAATGGAATTACAGGCCATTCAGAGGTGATGCGGTGAAGCAGTTAGTGGTGAAGGGGACAGTGGAAATCTGGATCTATCTACTACAATGGGTTGTTGAGGTTAGTCTAATTGAAATATTTTAAAACTTGGATGTTAAGTAAAAAATATGGCAAAAAGGCATAAATCGGTGTGATACAGATCAGCCACTATCTTAATGAACCAATATGCTAATTGTATGTGAAAAAAAACATGTAAAATGTATGTTCCTATTTTGATTGGCTGAACTCACAACAGTGCCCATATGGTGCTAATTTCTTGCCTTAAACGCAAACTGCGTTGTCTGTCTGATGAATGAATTTCTTTGTATGGAGCTATTTGAGAAAGACACGTTCAATAGACTATACTTGGTAGTCGAGTGAAAAGACTAGTATGATATAAGGGCAAATACCGTGGATGCTGAAAGTCTGGGATGACGTGTTATTTTCCAGAAATCCAAAAAAAGAACGCAATTACAAAGACGCAGGTCACAGAAATTCTGAAAAGGGTATCTGTAGCAGTAATATGTAGAGATCCTCGGTAGTATAGTGGTTAGTATCCCCGCCTGTCACGCGGGAGACCGGGGTTCAATTCCCCGCCGGGGAGAATCTCTTTTCTTTACAAATACGAAAGGGTATGTTTACTGCTTTTAGTATTTATTTTGCAAGATTAATTAACACAGCGACATATCTTGAATGTAGCAATATATACTGCCTCAAATAAATTTTGTTCTTAATAAGAAAACAGTGCCTTGAAATGACATTTTCAATCCTGCAAGGGCCAACGCCAGTTTGTATTTAAAGGGGAGGAGCTGATGAGATAAACAGCAGCTTATGTATCCAGATACCCCGCCGCTGGATACAGATTTTCTCAATCGCTACAGCTTCTTTCTAAAACTCGCAGCTGAGTTCAACATTCGGAGGAAACGAATTAATCTGAAGCGAGGAGATGCGGCTGAAGACCAAGAGAAAAGCTCTAGATAGATTATACGGTCCCATGACGATAGGTTGAAGCCACTCTGTCCATCAAATTAAAACATGATAGGACTTATTTTCCAATATTTATCTCTGTTGCTTTTACAATACTTTAAAGCAATGCTACCACTGACATTTTCCATAGTCTCCTTAGTTTATCGTCACGTAAGGCTTTGTACGCACACATCCTTTTACCGTTACCATAGAATTGATTCCATGATCAATTCTTTAGGGGGCATCTGGATTACAGAAACTATTGTCAGATATGTTTAAACTATCCAGGAAATGTGAGGACGAGATATTGCGCTAAAGAAATTGTACTAAAAAAATCGAACTGATTTTGTTAATTTATTTACGGATGTGAGCATTACTGGGTCAAATCAGCATTTATTGCCTATCAATAATTGTCCCGGAGAACATAGTGGTGAGCTCTTTCTTACAATCCACGTAGTGAGGTACACCTAGTGTTGTGAGGGAGCGAATCCTAGGATTTTGACTAAGCCACAGCAAATAAGTGGGGATATATTTCCTAGTCAGAAAGGTGTGCGGCTTGAGGGGATTTGGAGGGGTGGTAGGGTTCCCTTTCATCTGCTGTCATTCTGCTTCTAGGTGGTAGAGGTCACAGGTTTGGAAGATGCTGTAGGAGAATCCCTGGTGAGTTGTAGTAGTGCATCTTGTAGATGGGAAACGTTGGCGATGAGGGTTTTGAATATCGAAGGTATTACATAGGATATCAATAAAGTGAACTACTTTGCCAAACAACTGGAGTGTTTTTGGAACTGCCCTCATCCAAGTACATGGAGAGTATTCCATCACGTAAGACTTGTACCTTACAGGTGAGCTTTGATGAGTACAGATGTGAGTTACTTGCTGTAGAATTCACAGCCATTGACTTGCTCTTGTAACCATAGTATTTATTTGGCAGGTCTTGTTTAGTTTCTGGTCAATAGAACCCCCAAGATGTTAATAGCTGAGGATTGAGCAATTGCAATACCATTGAATATCAAGGGGATTATGTTGTAAGAGATCTTGTAAGAAATGACCATTGCCTCGTGCTTGGGTACACCAAGGCTGCTCGACACTTCCTGTCCCGAGCCAGGGCAATTATTGATAGGCAATAAATGCTGATTTAAGCCAGTAATGCTCACATCCGTAAATAAATTAACAGGTCTTACTGCATTTGGATAGGGACTGCTTCAGTATCTGAGAAGTGGAACTGTGCTTAGCATTCTGCAATCATAAGCGAACATGCCCACTGTTGACCTTATGACAGAGGGAAGGTTATTGTTGAAGAACAACAGAATACTAAACTAAAATAAAACAACCCACTACTGATGCTGGAGATCTAAAACAAACAAAAACAAAAATTGCTGGAGAAACTCAGTTGGTCTGGCAGCCTTTGTAGAGAGATAAATAGAGCTAACGTTTCGAAGGCCAACGACCCTTCTTCAGAAGATTAAACTTATGCGCTGGGACATGGTTGATCTGTGAAACTGTACACTACTTTTGGAATGATAAACAGAAAGATGAATGTACATACTGCCTTTGTACCAAGGACAATGTAAATACAAACTTTTTTCATGCAATTATATTCGGTGACGGATATAAAGTTTATTTTTGACTTTTTAAAATACTTGAGGTTTTTTTTGCTTGATTTAGTAAAAATCAGCGTAGGTAGATAAGGCGACCTCTTTCGGTTCCGAGATTGATTCGTTGTTGAATGGTCATCAATGCTTTTGAAATGGACTGCGATAGGCATTTTTTCCAGATACATTGCAGCAAGGCATATATTAAGATCTGCGTAAATGGTGGATTAAACATTATATCTTTAAAAGTCCTTTGTTTCAATTGCGCGCGGGTCATGTAGTTTTATGATTTTCCAGCAATCCGCAAGGGATCAGTGATATTTAGTGGCCTGGGTGATGTTGCCCAATTAGTCTGTAATGTCAACAACTCGATGTAAGTCAGTGATCGTACTGTCATTTCACATTGACTCGTCCGCTTCTCTTCCCAGCTAATGTTGCAAACAAGAGCAAGTTGCCAAACAGCTGCGAACTGACAAGTTAATGAAAATGCGAGTCCCTGAATATTGGATCATTTCAGCGGATCCTGAAACACAGCAACTATTCCTCTGCCCTCCTAACACAGATAATATGAACGTCCCATTGATAAATGACTCCTCAGGGTTGTACAGGTTCAGTTCATGGGTTGTTAACAAGTGTCAATTTGTCTTGCATGATTTGCCATTTAAGTTCAGTGAACTGTTTTGTCGTGGTGGGCTTGTTTATTGTTTTCAGACATATAACAAGTGAGGTACGGAGGAAATATCAGGGTCACTGCAATTGCCCAAGTTTCATTGTCTGGTGGAATGAATGATCTCTAATACAGTTAACAATAACTTGGAGAAAAGCGACAACAGTCTCAGTTCGCAATGAAGTGAATGTTAAATATATAAACAAGCACCGGAGACCGCATCTGGGAGATCAGAGTCAAGTTAGAAAATGCCTAATTCATTCAGAAAGGGGGTGGGGACGATATCTGTCTGTAATCCAGACAGCAAGCAATTACATGGGAGAAAGTTGACAGTTTCGCCCAATGCTCCCGCCCTCCAATGTGAACGAAGACAGCAGTTGCCGCTTGCCTCCAGTATATGTCTCTCTCAGACACACATTCACACAGAGCTGAGTGAGAACAGTTCGCTATGTGCTTCCTCCATTCATTCCCTGCAACTTGCCGATAGCGGTTAGAGAGAGAGAGAGAGTACTCATATTGGTCAGTGTGAGGCAGGTAGGTGCAGCACGGATGGGAAAGGATTTGGGAGTGATGATCCGTCTCTGGGCTCTGGAGAGCCGGGCTGGCACCTACCCATCAGTCCATCATGTTGGATCACCACGAGGATGACTTGCCGAAGAGCTGGCAAACTGCGGTTCTGTCTGCTCGCCCTCTGTGCCTGGCTAGCGAGCGGGAGACGCCCCAGGAGCAAGAGGAACTTGCTGATCGTCACGGGGGCTCTGTTGTACGCCTGCTTTGTGGTACTGCAGGGAGATGTCTTACCTCGGGAGAGGCTGGACCGAGCTGCGGGCGAGAGGCACAGCCAGCCCGGCCGGCTGCCGGCCAGCACTCTCCCAACCCGGGGGAGAGAACCGTACAACTTCACCTCCAACCCCAAAGTGGTGTACATCACCCTCCGCTCGAAAAGGAGGAAGCCGGTTAAAATCAGGGGCACCGTGAGGCCAAAAACCAGGAAGAAACATTCGGCTGTGCAGGAGAATGCAGCCGCTCTGATGGTGAGCCGGGACAGTCTGGCCCCATCCGGGGGCAAACCGAGGGGTAACCCGTCCTCACCTTCTCGAGGGGCAGCCGCTGAGAGGGCGAGAAGCAGCGGCGATGCCGCCTCCAGCAATATCCGGATTTACAGTGACAGTGCCCCCTTTTGGTTCAGCCAGGGGGATATCGCCGCCATGCGCTTCCTGGCCGATTCCAGCATTGGCCGCCTCCAGAGGCTCGTCCTCCCGGGCCGCCGGCCCCTCCTCCTCTTCCAAGGTGCGGGTAACCAACAGCGTCCCCCAAAGGCGAACGAAGTGAAAGCCGGCCGAACGTCGAGCTGCCGGGCACCGTGCGGGCTCCTGAAGACCCCGGGGGATACCAGCGAAGTCTTCGCTTTCCATCTCGATAGGATTCTGGGTCTCAATAGGAGTCTGCCCGCTGTGGTTCGAAGGATTCAGTCTGTTCAAGGTGAGCTATTTGAAGCTGTCTTTAAAAAGACAGCAGCTACTCCCATTGACTTCCCCTCATCACCACCGCCGCACCCCCTTACCCCCACCCAGCATGGATATCAACCAGGTAACTTCAGCATCCAATCTCCTATTCAACACATCATGCCATACTTCCGCAAAGCCCAGTCAGCTATTCCATTTCCAACACTTGGCCCCTTTGCCCCAACGTGTGAACAGCTCTAGTAGGTTTACAAAGTTTTCTCTGCGTTGTCCACCCCAATCGTGAGACCACCCAGAATATTGAGGTTAAGCGACCGTGTAAGATTTTGACTCCACGTTTTGAATCTGACCCCTTATCCGACTCGCACAACACATTTAACCATGGAAACTGCTTTAAGCCGCCAGTAGATGTTATGTAAACATTATATTTATTTTAGTACCAACATGGGAACAGGAGCAGATCATTTTGGCCCTTGGACTTTGTCCCATTATTCAGTGAATCATGACAGAACTTGACATCCATACTAACATATCCTTTCTATTCCATGGGATTCAACCTATTACGTGGCCATTTTTGATCAAAGAACTTTTAGAAGTCTCTATACCCGCTATCATAACCCTTATCACTGCAAAATCCCCACTAACCCTTCAGAAACACAAGAATAAATGGATAGAGAGAGTTGGCAACTCTACCAGACAATTGACTTTTCTCGAAGTCCTTGTGATCCACATGGGTGTTCTAGCTGGCATCTCAATGGATTCTTCACACTTATCTTTGCTGATTATAGTTTTTCTCACTTCTGCGCCATGTCGTGACATGCACTCCCGTCATTCTCACTGTCTTAATCATGACCTTCACCCTCCCAACTGACTTTACTCTTCACCCAATTGCTGGGAATAGTTTCCAATGGGCAATAACTGCAGATTGTTATCATGGGGTTTTCATCCTATCTGCCAAACAGACTGTCAACTTGGCCAGTAGTTGGGCAGGAAACATATCTTATGTTGACGTTTTATAATTATATATTATGTGAATAGATATTGCCACACACTTAAATTGACGCAGTCGCTGAACTTCAAAAAGTACAAGTGAATCAATTAAAGCAAAATGCCCCTAGACACTAGAAATAGGAACTAAAATAGAGTCTGGAAATACTGGATCAACAGTACTTGTGGAGAGAGGAGCAGAGTTGTTTTATAATTCTCTAGTGGGACATGGGAGTTGATGGCTGGGCCAGCATTTATTGCCCATCCTTACAAGTTGGTGATGAATTGCCTTCTTGAACCGCTACAGTCCATTTCCTGTAGGTTGACTCATCACGCTTTTAGGGAGGGAATTCCGGGATTTTCGCCGATCGATACTGAAGGAACGGTGATATATTGCCATTTCAAGGTGAGCTCAGTCGTGGCGATGGCATCAGCAGTGGAAAGTGAGCCCAGCAGCACGGACTCGTGACGGCAGCATCGGAGGGAATTTGGTTTCCCGGCAGCTTCTGCATGAATGAGGCGGTCCTAGAGGGCCAACTCACGGCTGCTGCTGCTGCTGTGGAGGTGAGATTGGTTTCCCGCTGGTGTCTGAATTCAATGCAGATTCATGGGGGCAGTGGCAAAGGTGAGTTCGGGCCTAGTATGAGATCCGGTGGCATTAGCAGCGGCTGCATTGATGATGTGGGCCCAAAGTGCACTTGTGGTGGTGGATTCGGGTATGGGTGGGTGCCGTACCTGGGGGCATTGGTGATGTCTGAATTGGCGAGGTCCATCGAGGACTTATAGTGGCTAGGGCATTGGTGGAGACGAGAAGGTGCGGAAGAGTGGCGACTTTCGTTCCAGTGGCGGCGGCGCAGAGAAGGGGCCTCCTGCCTGGCCACCAGGTCCATGGCCCGTGACAGAGCACTTGACTAGAAGGCCTGTAAAGTTGGACACTTCCTTTATTTTTTCATTTTTCAGCCTTTGTATTCCATATTTTGGGTTATTTTTCTGTGTTTTAAGATGGCGCCAGAGAGTGGCGACATTATGCAACATTTTTCACTGTATTTTGTAACAAGACACATGTGACAATAAATAAATCAAATCGAATTAAATAAGCCAAACGTTATTAGTCTTTGGAATTCTCTTCCCAAGAAAATGGTGGAGGCTGGGTATTTGAATATTTTTGGCTGAATGGCATACTGTTACTCCTAATTGGTGGGTTTGTATGGGTTGTATGTTTCATAAGTTCCATTTACTAGTAACCATAGAACATGAATAGTATATCTGAGTATAATAAACAATATCACAACTCATTGTTAACTATCTTTTTAAAACAACTTCTTTCAAGTAATGAACTATTGAAAGTCACATTCACAAGTTATGTTGTTACATGTGCACATCTGAACACTGAATCACAATTTATTTCTCAAACCAATATTCTTTTTCATTCTTGGGGTCTTAGAATGAGGATGAGAAGAAAGAAATGGAAGAAAGGAATTTGTATAAATCAGAATAAGTTGGTTAGTGACTTCATATGCTTGTATTAAAATCAGTGATATTTGGTTTGTAGAGCCCAATGCAAAGGTTCAGTTTGTGATCTACATTTTATTGGATAATGATTCTAAAAACAATCTACTTAATGATTATGTCATTGGCATGTGTACACAAACATGTAATGGCATACTTATCAAAGATAACAAAAAACGTTGACCAAACTTAGTGTATAAGTCATTTGACAATTCCAGGATAAATTACTTGTATTTTTGGCTGCAGCAAATTCTGAATAGTCAGTTGATATTTACATTTTGTTCAAACTTGGCATCAACTTCTCCTTCTCCGATCTCTGCCATGATTGAGTGGGAATGAATAGGTGAGAAGGCAAACACTGAAATTGGAAGTTATTGTGCTTCACTCACATTTACCAGTCTTTGAGAGAAGCTGCAAATTTTCTGCTTTGCTCATTTTTCTTCATCCTATGTAAAATAACATACCATAATCGTCTAATAATTTATCTTAAGTTACAAAAAGTCATTTTTACTCTCGAACTTCAATTAAATGTGATAGCGAGAAGGTTACATAATGCTAAGGAATCAGTTAGTGCTATTGCACAGGTATCCTTTTACTGGATCAGTGGTTCTGATTGCCTTGCTGTCCTTGATTGCAATTCAGTACACAGCATGAATACATTATTGAAATCTTTCCTGTGGCCCATGCATTTAAGAAAACTTGCTATAAGTTTTTACTTTCAGTGCTTTCTATTCATATGGTGTATGTAAGAACATGCCCTTATCATTAAACTATTGTTCAGATTATGATCCTACCCTGAGGTATACTGATCCTTGAGCTATTCAAGAAATCTGAGAAGCAGAATCTGTTCAGGCTGCGCAAACTTTGTGAGTTGAGGATTAACTGGTTTTAGATCAGTAAGTGCAATTTTTCTGCAATCTAAATCATGTGAGTGAAGTTCAAAGACAGGCACATTAAACATCTTACATTTGATAATTTAAATATCAGTTTGTATCAGTGCAGAATGTGCAGTGGATTTGAGATTAAGACATGGGTTGACAGTGAGTGGACACTGGATTGGGAATTGAGAGTAAAACTGGGTTTGGGGGCAAACTCCAGACTTTGATTGAAGACAATATAGTCTTTCTTTTTATTATTGTGATTTCATTCAGCCCAGAGCTCTTCTAATTGCAGACAGAGCAGGGGAACATGTGCTGCAAATGCTGAATTTTTTTTTGTGCTGCTTTGGTGGTGTTGCTGGGGGTGGTGGAAAGGAGGAGAAGTCCTGTGTTCGCAGTTGTTTAGGAGGTCCTTGCAGTTACATAGTGGAATGGCAATAGAAGCAGATAGCTTTGATAGCAATGATCTGGCTTCAGTAGCACGGGATTTCACAAATCACACATCCCGAGCACTCATCTGGAGTCATAGAATCATACAGACCCTTCAGTCCAACCAGTCCATGCCAACCATTATCCCAAACTGAACTTGTCCTTTCTGCTTGTGCTTGGCCCATATCCCTCTTAACATTTCTTATTCATATACTTATTCAAATGTCTTTTAAATGTTGTAACTGTACCTGCATCCACCACTTCTTCTGGAAGTTCATTCCACACAGGAACCACTCTCTGTGTAAAAAGATTGCCCCCATGTCTTTTTTAAATATTTTTCCTCTAACCTTAAAAATATGCCCTCTGGTCTTGAAATCCCCCACCCTAGGGAAGAACACCTACCATTCACCTTATCCAAACCCTTCATGATTTTATAATTTAATAAGACCATTTATAAACCTACCAACCAACTCTAAATCAGATTCATATGTTAAATATATGCTTTTAACTGCACCCTTGTGTGCTTAGCATTTTTGCAAATTTCACATTCACAACTTGCATACACTGGTAGCTATTCCACTGTGGCAACTGCATCACCCAAAAGTATAGCACCATGCAGCAGCATGAAAAAGGCAGGGTTTCCCTAAGTGGGTGTTGGAGTCACAAGCTGAAATTTTGGTGTGGTGAGTTCCAGGGCAGATATGGCTACTGTGGGCCTCTGCCTGAGTTATGGCAACTTTGGTTCTGCTCCAACAGGTCCATGTTCTCACAGGTCCTTTTCCAATCACCAATCTCAGCTTGAAGTTCTCACTGAGAAGCCTGAAAATGAGATGATAATGTTTGGGAAGAATTCCCCTGAGGGATAACACCAAGCTTATTATTTTAAGGTTATAAGCAATATGAAACGGTTCAATTTATAAATTTGGATGGAATGTTTATTTTGTAGTGGCTTTTATTTGGATTGAGGACAAGAGGAACAATATGATGTCTGAGACACAGAATGATGTGGAGGTGCTGGTATTGTTCTGGGGTGGACAAAATCACCAGTCACACGACACCAGGTTATAGTCCAACAGGTTTATTTGAAATCACAAGCTTTCAGAGCACTGCTGCTGAAGTGACTTCTCTTCACCTGACGAAGGAGTAGCGCTTTGAATGTTTGTGATTTCAGATAAACCTGTTGGACAATAACCTGGTGTTGTGTGACTTCTGACAG